CTGCTTCCAAACCTACCTAAAACGTAGCCGTAGGTGGCATTTTTATATTCCTCCCAAGAAATGAGGCCGTCCTCATTGAGGTCGTGCCCTTTCCACTGCCGCTCTACATCCTCGTAAATCCAGCGTTTTTGGGCAAACTTAATCCAGTTTTTCAGCTCTTCCACCGTTACCAACCCGTCTTTGTCTTCATCTATTTTACTTACAATCTTTCTGCGGGCAAACGTAGAGAAAGCCGGCACAAGTTAAGGGGTAAAAAGGGGGGGTTTGGGCTTTTTTAGGAGATTTTTTCTAGGTTTTTTTCCTAGTTGTTTTTCCTTAGGTGTTCTTTTTTCAGTTTATTTTTTTTTCAAGGTGTTTCTTTTTTAGGGTTTTTTTTTTCAGGTGTTTCTCTTTTAGGGTTGGTTTTTATTTCAAGTGTTTCTCTTTTAGGGTTGGTTTTTATTTCAGGTGTTTCTCTTTTAGGGTTGGTTTTTATTTCAGGTGTTTCTCTTTTAGGGTTGGTTTTTTTTCTTCAGGTGTTTCTCTTTTAGGGTTGGTTTTTATTTCAAGTGTTTCTCTTTTAGGGTTGGTTTTTATTTCAGGTGTTTCTTTTTTAGGGTTTTTTTTTTCTCAGGTGTTTCTCTTTTAGGGTTTTTTTTTCTCAGGTGTTTCTCTTTTAGGGTTGTTTTTTTTTTTAAGGTGTTTCTCTTTTAGGGTTGGTTTTTATTTCAGGTGTTTCTCTTTTAGGTTTTGTTTCTTTTTTCAGTTGTTTCTCTTTTAGGGGTTTTTTTTTTCCAGGTGTTTCTTTTTTAGGGGTTTTTTTTCAGGTGTTTTTTTTTTTAGGGTTTTTTTTTCAGGTGTTTCTTTTTTAGGGTTGGTTTTTTTTCAGGTGTTTCTTTTTTTTAGGGCTTTTTTTTTAGGTTTGTTTTTTTTTTAGGGTTTTTTTTTCAGGTTTGGTATTTTTTAGGGTTTTTTCTTTTAAGTTTGTTTTTTTTTCAGGTTTGTTTTTTTTTCCAGGTTTGGTTTTTTTTCCGCCTTTCTACCCCCCAGAGCATCCAGGATGCAGAAGGA